ATAAAATAAAAACAACATAATGCAACCTTCTTTAGACTTCTGGCTTAACAAAAGTCCTCTTTTAAAAACTTTCTCCTAACTACATATTAATATCTTACACATATTATGCTGTGTGTATGTATAATTAACATATAACTCTATACATTATGTTATATAAAACCAATATGACTATATTAACTTACCATCCCACTGGAATTATTTATTCCATTCATATTAATTTTTGTTACAAATCTAACTGACGGAGGAGCTTCTGGGTATTTAGGTCCACATTCTACTTTCAGGCTATATATTCTGTTTTCATAATTTGTCTGGAAGGCAAAAAACAAAAAGACAATCAAAATAACAATACCTAAATCTACCAAAAAATACAAAAATTAGCTGGGCTTGGTGGCATGTGCCTTGCAGTCTCACGTACTTAGGAGTCTGAAGTGGGAGAATCACTTGAGGCCAGGGGAAGTGGGGGAGTACCACTGCACTACAGCCTGGGGGACAGAGTGAAACCCAAAAATAAACAGACAATGATGCTCAGCCATGATTGTTTCAACACAGATATACTTGCTCCTCAAAGAAAAAAACTCTTTATGAATATTCATCCTTTTCATGAATAGTCATCCTTTTAATCCCACCAAGTGTACCTTAACCCTCAGAAAAGTAACATTCAAAGAGAAATAATGATCATCTTTATTTTTGACGGCGTTTCACTCTTTCGCCCAGGCTGGAGTGCAGTGGCACAATCTCTACAGGAGTGAGCACCATGCCCCGCCCAATAATGGTCATCTTTTTACCAAATAAAGATCAACTGAAATATGACTACTAAGGCAATTAAAACCCTAAGAAAACTTTTGGCCGGGCACAGTGGCTCACATCTGTAATCCCAGCATTTTAGGAGACCGAGGCAGGCGGATCACCTAAGGTCAGGAGTTTGAGACCAGCCTGGCCAAACACTGTGAAACCCCGTCTCTACAAAAATACAAAAATTAACCGGGCATGATGGTGGGTGCCCGTAATCCCAGCTACTCGGGAAGCTGAGGCAGGAGAATCGCTTGAACCCAGGAGGCGGAGGTTGCAGTGAGCCGAGATCACACTATTGTACTCCAGCCTGGGCGACAGAGTGAGACTCTGTTTCCAGAAAAAAAAAAAAGAAAGAAAAACAAAGGTTTTAACCACCACATACATCTATTCCAGGCAAGCACATTAAGGTTTTTAAGGATGGCCTAATTTATATTATAAAATAAAAACAACATAATGCAACCTTCTTTAGACTTCTGGCTTAACAAAAGTCCTCTTTTAAAAACTTTCTCCTAACTACATATTAATATCTTACACATATTATGCTGTGTGTATGTATAATTAACATATAACTCTATACATTATGTTATATAAAACCAATATGACTATATTAACTTACCATCCCACTGGAATTATTTATTCCATTCATATTAATTTTTGTTACAAATCTAACTGACGGAGGAGCTTCTGGGTATTTAGGTCCACATTCTACTTTCAGGCTATATATTCTGTTTTCATAATTTGTCTGGAAGGCAAAAAACAAAAAGACAATCAAAATAACAATACCTAAAATATTAATGTCTAAGTGCTAAAAAAAAAAAAAAAAGGAAAAGTACAATATGAATGTACTTGATAAGACAGTGTTTATGATTAAGAATTTATTTTTCCACATTCAAATTTATTTCACCTCTATGGTGAAAAATGCAATAAGCATACTTAAAAATTGAGATTTTACAAAATTAATTCCATGAGATCTTACCAAATTAATTGTACAAAGTATTATCAATATGATCACAACTTGCTTTTGTGATAAAAATGATGCCTGTAACAAATTAGAAGGAAGAAGGAAAAAGGAAAAACCAAACCACTTAAATTTAGATTTTGCTAAAAAGTTTACATTGTAGAGGGAGGGGCTACTTAAGACTTGTGTCAAACATACATGAGGTTTCTGTTTTACACAACAGTTCTGCTTATTCCTATTGTTCCAGAATTGACTATTAATAGTGCCTGTTTTCATTCTCAAAAGGGTCTTGTTGGATAACAAATTATATGATCATCCTACTTAATATGGCAATCAATAACTTCTAGCAAAAAAGAAAACCCCACATTATACCATTGTGCGGCAATAAAACATAATTATTTTATGTCTCCTGTTAGTTATACTTACGTTGCTACTTCATTAATTTTGAGGTTCATTAAATCCCATTATCTGAATTCAGAGAAACAATAGCAAACTTTATGTTTACACATCATTTTCAAATAGGTATCAAACTTAAAGCTTCTAGATTATCCAGGGCTTATTTTCATGCCTATAAATTAGCTCTTCTTTCTCCTATGGCTTTTGTTCACTTGGTTAACTTATTAGTGTACCATTAAAACAGCAAAGTAAAAAATAAACGAATCCTTAGCCGGGCGCGGTGGCTCAAGCCTGTAATCCCAGCACTTTGGGAGGCCAAGATGGGCGGATCACGAGGTCAGGAGACCGAGACCATCCTGGCTAACACGGTGAAACCCTGTTTCTACTAAAAAATACAAAAAACTAGCTGGGCGAGGTGGCGGGCAGCTACACGGGAGGCTGAGGCAGGAGAATGGCATAAACCCGGGAGGGGGAGCTTGCAGAGAGAGCATGTAGATCCTGGCCCCACTGCACTCCAGCCCGGCCGGACGAGCAAGACTC